TCGTTCTCCGTCATGTCACCTAACATTGCAAGGCTTGTGCATCCCTGCAAGAAACATGTGTTCCAGATAAAATCATTCTCAAGATCTTCTGAATAATCTTCTGGGTCACTTCTCTTGGGATGGTCTCGATGGTTTCAATCTCTACATCATTTTGATTGCCCATTGGAATGAGGGACAAGGAGGCCGGCATGTGGGAGACCGAGGCTCCGACCGCCTCGTTGGTGGCCCACAACCTTTTGTGCTTCTTTGCTGTGCAATTCGGCTGGACGATGTTCTTTGGCGATATCACGGCTGCTTTTCTTCAAGGAGAAAACTTGCATCCGGACCGCAAAGTTCTGGTCTCATTCCCTCGAGGTTACCCTGACTTTGTCCAGCAATTTTTGGCTTCGAAGTTGCCCGACGGTGCTCGCCCAGACATGGTCCGCTTTACCAAAGGGGGTTTTGGGTTGGCCGAATCACCACGCTTGTGGTTGAAGAAGTTGCAGAAGACGCTGACTACACTGGGCGCCAAAGAGTGGTTGTTGATACCAGGAGTATTTTCGGTCTTCGTGCAGGGCGAGATTGTGGCCATGATTGCTTGTCATGTGGATGACATCAGGCTCATCGGACACCCAGAGAAGGCCAAGCCGATTTGGGAAGCTATCAAGGCCGAGTTCACCTTCGGAGAATGGCGCCATGTGGCCGGTGAATGGGCCAAGTTCTGTGGGCGCTATGAGAGGCAGTTCCCGGATGGAACCATCGAGGCTCAGATGGATGACTACTGCGAGAAGCTCCAGTTCCCGCCTAAGAGACGACGCAACACCGTGGAGAAGGATGGCACGGAGCTCACCTTGAAAGAGCGAAAGTGGGTGGGTCATGTTTGTGGTCAACTTTCTTGGCTGGCCAGACAATGCAGAGGAGACTTGCTCTTTGGGGTCTCGAGGGTCCAACAATTAGCCGGTGTCGGAGACCCAGCGGCTTTGGACGAACTCTACGTGCTGGTGGAACGAGCCAAGGCGGTCCAGACCATGCGGTTCAAGCCTTTGGGATGTCCCCCTGGGCAGTGGATGGTTGTGGCTGCTTCTGATGCGAGCTTTGGAGGCATGCCACGTGGTCGCAGCCAAGGAGGAGCAGTCTGCTTGGTGGCGCACCCTAGCTTGTTGGAAGCGAAAGCCGTTGCGGTGCCGATCACCTTCCACTCCGCCCTGCTCAAACGAGTAGTACGATCAAGTCTGACCACGGAAATAAGCCAAGCTGCAGAGGCACTCGATCAAACGGATTTCCTTCGAGCGGTCATGGCAGAAGCGCTCTATATCGGCTTCGATATCGACCAGTAGCTCTTGCATGTGGCACACTGACGCTTAATTACGGTACTAAGCAGCCCCACGGGGTATGACCTTCTGAATGGGTCAGAGCACGGCGAGAATCGCCGCTTAGCGATTAACATCGCGGCCATGAAGCAAGCACTCTTTGAAGATGGTAAAAACCGCCTGGTGAGGTAGGTGCCTAGAAATGACCCCATCGCGGACGACTTAACGAAGTTAATGGGCAATGACCGCCTCATACTCCTCTCGGAAAACACCTGCTCTCTGAGGGACACGTCAAAAGCATAAGCGTTTAAGGAAGACGCTGCCGAGCGAAAATGCCGGTATAAGCAACGGATTTCTCAAAGCCGCGAAGCGACTAAATACCTCCGCCAAAGGGGGGAGTAAGTGTTATTAATAGCCTAAAAGGCTCAAACGAGGTAGAAAAAATTTTTGGTAGCGTCGACCACTTTTAATATAATATTTTTTTTTGCATTAAATTAGTTATTAATATATTATGTTTTAAATATATTTCATTAAAATATAAATTCAAAATATATTAAATTATTCAATATTTTATTAATTCCAAATTTTCATAAATACTAAAAAATTTATTTAAAATTACAAAATAACAATTAAATTATATAAAAACAAAATATATTCAATTAACAAAATCAAAAACTTAAATAAATAAATTCAATCATCGCGAATTAATTATCGATTTTATAAATCAATCATCAATTTTCAAATAAAATTTATTCAAAAAAAAATATACATCTTTATTCAATATATATAATATTGGATATAAAGTAAATATATATTCAACTATATCGTATTAATATCGATTAATATGATATATATTTTACTATATATTTTATGTTTTATAATCAAATCGATTACGTATAAATGGCGTATTCAAATCAATCCACGTCGCGTAAAATCAATTCATTATATGGGCACAAAATTTCAACGAGAATTCAACCCATTTGCATAAAGCACATTGGGCACACTTGAAAAATGAGCACCACAGGAAAATAACATGTTCAAGGAAAAATGTGCGCACACTGTGTTATGGCTGGCACTTGGCCTTACTTTCTAGGTGCTTCAAGCCCAAGTCTCAATTGCACAACACCGTTCACACCAAAGCGCAACTTAGAGAATAGGTTGCATGCGCACACACAAGTGACTTTAGTCCTCTGCGCGAGCCCCGCTCAAACCCCGGGCGAGGTTCGCGCGAGCACGACTCATACAGTCGTCCTACAGCTTCCTGCGGTCAACCAAAACAGAAGCAGCAGGAGCAGCAGCAGCCAACCAGAAGCAGCAGCAGCAGCAGCAGTGGAGCATGGGCCCAAGGAGCTCTGCATCAAAACTGTCACAAATCCTTGTCCCTTCAACCCCAGTGGAAGCTGCCCCCCCCCAAAGAACCAATTCATAAATAGAAACAAGTGACAATCAGGCACACCATGGGCACAGGACAAAACATGTGTTATAGATCAATACAATCTATGCTTAGACATCCCTTGGAGTGCAGTTCTGCAAGGGCACACGGTTTCGAGTCGACTTTACACAAGCTGAGTCGACTTAACGCTAGTACCTAGTATCCTGACATATAATCTCGAATCTTTGCTCTGATTTGTGTTTTGATATGTCGTTGACATGTCTTCCGACAAGTATGTGTTAAAAAACATATGCGTTCTCTTGCCCGGTGTCTAGCATTTCTTGTGATTTCTTTTCTGATATGTGTTCTCATATGTATTCTCGGGGGTCCACAGTGGACTTGCAGAACACATGCCGGATTTGACGCGAGACCACATGTATGGCAGAATTACTTGCCAAAGATGTGTCAGTAAACCTGTCAGACTTGAACACATGCCAGCAAGGACCTAGGATGTTAGAACACATACCAGAATGGATGCCAGAACAAATTTGAGCATTGTGAGTGCAGGTCGGGCAACGTATGTCAGGATAGTGTGTCAATACACGTCTCCTGCCTCCTTCCAAGTCGCCTCTTTGGATTGGGATCACTCAAAGCAAGCATACTTTTTTAAATTTCAGTCGTTGCATTCGGAGAATCAAACGTCCCATTCCATAATTGAGTCGATCCACCTGCAGCGTTGGAGCATCTTTCATCATTTGATGAGCTGATTTGGGAATCCTCCCGGAAGATCCTGGGAATCCTCCCAGAAGAGGCCCCAACAATTTTGGGATGTGCCCTCCCCCAAACTGACATAGAGCACCCTCAAGCAACTCATCTTCCAAACAGCTTCTGGCAGTTTCTATGTTTGCCTGACATCATTACCATCGATTTGTGTCAGGTGGTGCATTCCATCTGGTTCATCAAGGTCCGTGAAACGCTCTGTTCGATCAGCTGGTACCTCTCTTGAGCGGACCGCCTTCCTCGGACCGGAACCCAAGGTGGAACCCCAAGGTGCCATATGTCCAGGTGGAACTCAGTGCTGCGGCACCCAACGAACGATGGTCGGCTTGTGGCTCCAAACCACCAACCGTACCCCTCACCAACTGGGCACCCATCGTGACAAAGGCGGTTTGGCCGACATCGCTCCTTTTGGCAGTGCGAAGTTCGAACAGTTGATGGGATACTTTGTGGGCGTTCTTCTTCGCCCCACAAGGCAAACACGGAGAAACTGAGACAGCAACTCTCTGGACGGACGCGACGCACCGACCCGGAAGCCCTTTAAGGGCTCCAGTCGTCACGCCGTCCTCAGCGACCCCAAGAAGATTGACATAGAACTCATGCAAGCCAAGAAATCACTGGACTCCACCAGTTTCCCTTGAAAAAAACAGGTGAACCTTTTTCCATCTGCTCACATTTAGTGGGGAAACCAATCCCAACAAAAAGGTTAAAGGTTATCCACTGACTGGGTAGCAATCTTTCTGATACTCCAAAAAAGGATCAAACCGGGACAACTTGATGGGATGGCTCGGTCGAACTTTGTCATACTTACTTTGGTGAGTTGTTGGACACAATTTTAACCCATGCCTATTCTTGTGCCTTCTTCTATCGGTTGTGCCTTCGTTCTGCATCAATCTTTGTTTGGGCTAAGCAGTCAGGAAAACACTCCACACCAGGGTGGGGCTGTAGGAACCCCTCGTCGAATCTCGGTACACAAGAATTTCGTGGATTAAACTGCCCCAAAACATGGATGGCCCTGGATGACGTTCCAAATTAACTAGACATGCTATGACATGATGGTGACATGACATATAGTGGTATAACATAAATAGAAACAATACATATGATGTCCCATAACGTGCGTCGCCACGACTGGGGGCACGCCTTTGGGTCCGAAGTGAACATGATACTTGCTGAACCACCCCACTGCTCATACCACTTAGCAAAAGTCCTGAAAACATCACACTGGGTGAGCCATGTTGGCTGGATGATCTTGCCTTTCTTGGGTGTTTTCTGCGTACCACGCTCATCCATTACACCTCATGCCATTCATATACAAATATATACAGCATATACTAGTATATGTGTAATTGTTGCCACACATGCCTTTGGATGCTTTTGGATCCATTTTCAGTCGAAACGCAGGTCAAAACAACTGTTTTCAAGCACTTCTTTTGCTGAAACAACACGCACACACCTCCACAGCTCCAACCTCTCTCCCACCAACCCGAACGGCGAAGCCGGCCTCACTCCACCCGCTCCGGTGGGTGAGACCGAACGGCGAAGCGGGCCCCCCCCTTCTATCACTTCGCTTCGCGCATGGGCAGCAGGAAGAAATCGTGGCTTGGCCGCGCCAGGTAGGCGAAGATCGCCTGCGGCGTGCGGTCCGAAGGGTCCGACGATGAGGCGGCACGACCAGGGCAGAGGTCACCAAAGGAGGTGGTCCAGGGCAGGTGACGACCTACCTGGGATGTAAGAGCTCTAAGGTATAAGAAAAGCAACCAAGCCAAACATGGACGAGCCATGTAAGCCTGTATGCCGGTATCCGATCCCTTGAAAACTTCTTCGGACAATTATCATTCAGGGTGTTCGTACTTGAATTCGAGAACTGTTTGCATCCAAATAAACATCATATGATGTACACCACCGCGACATGATGGACATGGTGGACAGGGTTCCACCGTTCCGCCCTGTCTACAGTAGCAACTCTTTACAACGGGTGCAAGGGAACTCTTGGGTGGACGAGACACGGTTGAGACATGTTGCTTGAGAAGCACTGCTTGGCTACACTCAGATCTCGACTATATAGATCGTCTCACATATAATAGGAACCAAACACATAATGTCACCATGCAGTGCTGTGTTGAAGCCGCCCAGTGATGTGTTGAAGTCCTTATTCTTTGACGGCCAGAGACCACCTTTCATCTCTTAAGTTTCGGGGTTTGCCAGGTCAACATCCATTGGCAGTTTCACGGAACGACATCTTCATGGTGGCTGGATGCATGAAACTTTGGCTGTGCGAGATTGTATCGAGGTGCTTGGTGCTACTTTAACGGCACTTTGGAATCCAAGAAGCAGTGTGTCTAGGCCCTGAAAAATCACAGGACAAAACTACCTTCCCTCAAAGATTCACCCAAACTGAACAGCACATCGTCTTACACGAGAGGTTCCCATCGTCTTCTTCCAAGTTCGGCGCTGGCCAATTCGCCTCTACCGTCCGGATTTCTCGCGTCTCAAGACCAAAACCCTCGGCCCAGGCACCATGAGGATCACCCAGACATGGAAAACCGCATTTTGATTGAAGGCCTCGGCCGCGGCTGGGTATGGGGCGTAAGCTGGCTGGACGAAGGACATACCACGGAGTCACATGTCCATCTGCCGAGCCGTACATCCAAGGTTCTACACCAAAAATAGGTATGGCACTGCCAACTAAATAGGGGAAGAATCACTTGCCTATGTCCATAGGGGGTGACCGTACTGGTTGAGGCCAAGAATTCAGGGCATAGCCCAGCCTCTACGTCGATGGCCTTTGGATATAGAAACGAGCCGAGAAGTCACACAGATTGTGCAGCTTAACCTAGCCCTTCAACTTGCAGGAACTTGCGAGAAGGCCCATTTTCTTGTGGACGATTCACATCTCATCCTGGAATCCTCCTTGTAGGCATAAAACAACCCCCCTACCAACTACGGACAGCTTTTTCATGCTTTTTCTTGTCCAAGTCCCTCCAACAAAAGCGCCACACCTGCACGACCCTGGTCATGGTAGAAAAGACTACTTCATCTGATTCATGAAAGATATCCCGAGTTAACCTGTTCTACCCAAACAAACCTTATGGATTATCTTATAAACACACCCAATAGTGCTTTGCAGTGTTTCCAACACTTTCTACAAAGCTCCAAATCATTTTACAGTTCTTGGACTTTTGAACAAGGATGATCTGACATCGTCTCTGTGTGTACATCCTTTCCCTGGCAATCAACACGGCCTTGATGAGTGGGACGGAACCCCCTAACCAAATGCAATCACCATCATTTGCTGCCTCTGTTCAATTTTTGTTACCTCAACGTGCCCAGGCTGTGCTGACGATCTAGAAGGAGAAAATTTTGTTTTGTTAACGCTTCTAGATCGTACGGAGGGCGGTCGTCTGGCCAGGAGACACTTTTGTACAAGTAAACTTTGACGTCAACTAAACTCTATTTGTTTCAGCTCCCGGAGCAAACATTCTACATAATTGCGTTGGCACCGCATGCAGGACTCATCGCAGGCTAAGTTGAAGCTACCCCTTTCACAGCACCGGTTCGCATCCTTTCGCGTCTGACACCAGAAGGAATTCTGGTCTCATTATGAAGGTTGGAACCTGTTGGAACCCGAATCTGCACTCCCCCCAAAGTTTCGCCACACCTAAGATTTGTCAATTGTTCTGCGGGGAATCCCCATTGCCAAGTTATTCTGGAGTTGTGGTACCGTTGGGAGAAAAAAGGTGGGTCCACCGAGTCCACGTTTTCGTATCGGCACCGAAATCTACCCAAACCGATAGTTCTAAATTGGAAATTGGGACAAACAACAGCATATACAATTTTAGACCTCTAGATTGCTCGATCACCGAATCATACAATACACTGGGTCATTTTCATCTTCATCCCTGGGTAAATCTCACCCGCGTCCCAAGCCCCCACTTAAAGCAGGTCCTTCATTATGGGCCCTTGTGTCTGCCATTGATCCTTGTTCATAACAGGTTAAAAAGTCCTTGAGCCTCCAAGAAAAAAAACAGTATACTCATCACTTAAAAAAAAGAGGTTCAGGGTTTAGGCTTTCCCCATGTTTACCCCGTCTCCAGTTCCTACCGACCAAACCGTTCCGCCCAGCGTCGTCGGGCAACGAGCCTGGCGGCCACGGTCCGAGCGGTCGGACTTCGGGGACTTCGTTGGGGACCGTGACAGCTGACCGACATGGTGCTCACGTGTTGGAGACCAAATGGAGACAAATGGTTTGTAACTATAGGGAGGTGAAACCCATGTCACTTTTGTAGGTTTCCATGTCACGCATTTTTTTTGGTTTAATGTTTTCTTTCCTTCATGAAGCTTTTTCAGTGTTGACCATGTTGTTTCTTCATGTTTTGTTTAAAGTGTGTCATGCTGTTTCTTCATGTGCGACCTTCTCTGTCGCCACAAGAAATGGTGTACAACTCGGAAGGTCTTAAGCCATTACAGTATGATCTAATTGCAAGCCTACTCTTTGATTACCCACGATGGACTCCGAGATGCGGTGCTCCGGGTGGATTCGATGGAGGATTCGGTCGGTTCCAATCACATCGGTGGACCATGTGGGGGGATGGATCCAGCCTTGAGAGGGGCAGAAAGAACATGAAAAGAACCACGTCACGGTGGCCTTTCTTTCATTCTCAGTGGAAGCTCAGGGCTTCTTGGTACAACACTCCAAAGACTCTGGCCGGAATCGGAAGGTGAGCGTGCAGCCACATGAAAGGAGTAACTCGGCGACCTGTAACTATGGAACATTCCTAGCGCTTTCGTGGTTGGATTGATTGAACAAAATACACTGTGATACGCCGTGTATGTACATGTACACAAAATGCATAATTTAATAATGTGTGTGTGTTGGCGTACACAGTCCTTTTAGACTACCCGAACTGATCGATAAGCTGCTGGATAGAAAAAAACAACCAGAGCAATCAAATGTGAATATCTTGATGTATGTTCTGCTCGAAGTTAGTGTACCGACATGCTTTTGTATGTATACATTCTAATTTCTTGACTCGACTCGAACCCCAAATTCATCAATTCCCTCCATCGATCGAGACCTCCGACATCCCTGACTCCACCATCTCCATGCCTGACTATAACATCCTGCTCCATCGAACCCCCAAATTCATCCCAAACCATCCGACTATCTCCATGCCTGAGAGGAACTGCAGGGTGAGAATGCCGGCGATGTAGCAGGCAGCACTGGCGACTCCGGACCAGCCTTTTCCACCCACTCCTGTTCCACCCACTCCGCGACAGGCATCCTCACAGGAGCAGGCCAGCACCCAAGCCAAGGGAGTAGGCCAGCACCCACCAAACTGGTGGGTGGTTTATAGACTCATCAGCCATGATCGACCCCAGCATGTGTTTTATGTGTTTGAACCCACTCTCCGAGGTGGTGCAGGGTGGTGCCAAAGGATGTTTCGATTGGTTTGGGCCCGACCGTTCCTTTTTTCGGGTTATACCGTGAACAATCCGTGAACCCAAAGAGAAAGAGACGCGGAAAGAGTGTCTGGCATGTCTGGCAAAAGAATTGACCCCTTTTTTTGTAGACCCCCAAACAAATAGACAAGTCAATGTATTGGAAACCGTGCCACCATCTATTTGGGGACCACCATATGTCATAACGTCCTTTTGAGATCCTTTCGTTCTCTTTGTCTTGCACCAAGCAGCGCACAGAAATGTCACAAGGGCAAGGCTGGAAGCTGCCAAAGTCCAATATCCTGAATTGTGTTGCACCAGCTGGAGCACTGCCATGAATGGATCTTGTTTAGGAACCCTTGGAAACCGCATGGTCTACCACGATGTCGCTGAATCTTCACCTATAGAAAGCATCTTTGGAAGAGTAATTCTGACACCCCACTGCTAATTCTGACACCCCACTGCCCAACCATATAGTCATAGTCCTTTCATCCACCATCGCAGCAACACAAGACTACAAGTAGCCTATACTATTTAGTTCAAAAGCAAATGCTTCCTCCAGCACCCAGGCCACGGGTGCTGGTTCACAGTTTTCTAGTGAACCCTCCAGTTGCGTGTCACCGACAAGTCAGTGGTGCTCAACCCGAAAAGCTTGTGGCGGACCCTCCCGCCAAACACCTCGCGAAGAACCGGGCTCCAGGTCGGGGTCATGGGTGGGTGAGTCTTTGAAACGATCATCGAGTCTCAGAACGAACGAAGGAAATGACATCTTCTCGAGCAAACCAAACATGTGAGATCAATCCAATAGACTAGAGACTAGAGATGTATACGGAAAAATCTCTCCATAATCCCCATCATTTCTATTTACTATTTGCAGCTATTTGCATTGCAGCGCGATGTCCATGTTGTCCGACGCTGAAGCAAAATCAACGTTTTGTTTTTTGAATGAACCAAAACCACTCCAAGCCCAAGGATACGGAGCAACACCAAAAACCCGAAACCTTCCCACACCGCATACTCAATCCACCGCATCCGCTTCCCAGGAAAAACCGATGTCGACCATGTAATTACAATTAGCGCAATTAGCTTGGTTTTTCACCACGAACTTGAACAGCTGGAAGCCCAAACTGTTTCACTCCGTTTTTCCATGTGTTTCTCCTCATATTCTCATGTTGCCTTCACCCGGTGAAGCAAACAGCTGCACTCACGTCTTTGCCCCTTGGTCCAAGAGGCCGATATAGTTCCCGGAGCCTGTGAGATTGCCGTTCCACACGGAGAAACCTTCGAAGACCTTGGTGTTCGCGCGTTGGTGCGCGGTGGTCGGTGTAGCGCCGTGGGAGGCTGAAAAGAACGAACACCAATACGAACAGCATGTTTTGTCTTCAGTTGGTGAGGCAAAGCTGGAATTCAGGTGAGGGTGACTCCTGATATCTGATGTGCTAGTTGTTGCACGTGTGTTGCATAGGACATACAGTTGAGCACGACGTGGGTTTGTAGCTCAATTAGAATGGTTTTGGTCGTCTGTTTTTGCTCCTCCCAGTGGTCTTGTGGCCACTTGTTTAATTCTGCTGACCTGCTCCTGCTCCTACTGTCGTTGTTGCTGTTTGCTGTTTGCTCTGTGTTTGCTGTTTGCTGTTTGCTGGTGCTGCTGCTGCTGTTGCTGTTGGTGTTGGTGGTGTTCGTGTTGGTGTTGGTGTTGGCGCTGCCACTGCTTTTGCTGCTGCTGCTGCTGTTGTTGTTGCTTGTTGCTTGTTGCTTGTTGCTGTTGTTGTTGTTCTGGCTGCCGGCTGCCGGCTGCTTGGGAGCTGCGGATGATGAGGGGGAATTTCTTTCTGTGAAGGGTTTTAAGAGGATTGGCCGGGAAGGATGATCCTTTACTTGACCCCTTTCCTTGAGCCCACGCTTTCTTCGCGTTTGGTTCTTCTCCATTCGAGATAGACTTCGATGAGGTTGATCTTTTCTAGTTTTGATTTGATTGGTGATGCTCGCCTGGATGCATCTCCTTTTCCCTGATGGAGTGTCTTGGCGGGCCAATCTTGAGTTGGCGCAAGGCTGAGCTTGTGCAAACGTTCTCCTTCTTTGGGAGTCCGGTCAACAAGTGGTTGACCGTAGGGCGGCTCTACTCTCCGAGTGCGTGAGAAGTTGTTGTTGTTGTTGGTAAGAGCTTACCAGTTCTGGCTTGCTCTCGCAGTGTTTTCTGCAATTCAATTGTGCAATCATATTTCCACCATGACTCCCGAATATGACCACATAACACATCGCTGCAATCAAGGTAGGGTATGAACGCAAAGCATCCGAAGGTGCTGTGGATCCTGAATTTCATCTTGGGCATTCTGTGTACAATTTACAGAATCACGGATAGGTCAAACGTTGGGCCTTCTGATGTATCCCCATCCCAGGTCCTCTCCTTATTGAAGTTGGAAGTGAGGACATGTAAGGACGGGTGCAGCTACGCTGTCCATTGGTGAAGTGATTGGTCCCTTCTTCGGCAGAAGGAGCTAATCAGTCACACAAAGGCTCCCCCCAGCTCCGTCTCTGGATTTGCGGCTCCCAGGCCTGCTGCTTCCCAGGAACCTGTGGGGATTCACCCAGTTCCGGGGGAAACCAACATCACCTGATCAGCCAAAACCAGTGACTTCGGGGGTGGCGCGTGTGTTTGGGCGTCTCTGGCAGCTCAGGTCGGTGTCGACGTCGAGGACGCGCGGCGTCGGTTCCGCCCCCCGTGGGAACGAGGAACTGCGAGGCCCAAGGAGATCAACAGAAGTCCCAGAGTCATCGGAGCAGCTAACCAGTTGGCACAACTGCCTGGAGTGAGGGGGGAGGCTCTCTGTGAAGTCTCTCTCTCTCTCTCTCTTTCAGGCAAACAGGCGGACCACTACTCCAACACTGCACTCGGGAAGACACCCGGGTCAGTGCCCCCGCAATTTGGAGAGGAACCAGGCTCCGGGGGATCAGCTAGGATGTGGTGCCGGGGGTAGCACAAAGAGATCTCTTTCTCTCTGTCTCTCTGTCTCTCTCCATTGGAGCGCCGGCTATGAACATTTGGAGAGGGGGGACACCAAACATCCTAGGTCCTAAATATCCTAAATCCTATGTGCATCTATGTGCCCCAAATCCTAGGTCTTACATTGTTCATCCACATCCGAGGAACGTTTAGGGGTTCCCTGAAAAAGAGCTGGACGGATACGTCCAATGACTTCAACAAATCTTTCGACCCTCATTCTAAGAGACATTCCTTAATTAAAAAACAATAAATCTGAAACATGTGCATGTCAAAATTCTGAGCATCCGCCATCCTCCGCCATCACAAAGTCTCAGACTTGCCAAAAGCCTAGGAACACCCTCCAGAAGGCTCTCCACGGTCTCCACCATGACTGGCCCAAATATACTGAGACTAGGCAGAACCCTACTAGTTGCAACTATAGTATCGTTATGTATCGTTTACCTTTTCCTCCCAGCACCACTGCGTTCGGGTGGTTTTAACATGTTTATAGAACCCCCTGAAGCAAAATGGCTGGTGGCAAAAAGCGCTGATACTTCCAGACTGTGCTGGCGTTTTTGGTGGGTCCATGGCTGGGTCCCACGCCCCACGAGCTCAGTTGGAGCTAACTTCGGATCTCGCCCCGGTTCGACCGCCGAGCGATGGTGGATCCACCGAAGATACTTCCAAACCCCCTGAAATCAGTTCATCAATCAACATCACCCTGGCCGGTCCTCGGGGGTGGGGGTTTCATCTGGTCCCATAGGATGCGCGTCGCGTCGCGTCGCATGCGAACCTGTTCCACCTGAAACCTCCCACCTGGAGCGTGGATGGCCATGGCCGCCAACGCGGCCGGGGAGAAGGCGGAGATGAGCATCGCCAGCAGCCAGGGATACATCCATTCACTGTGCACCTGGTGTTGTGTTCATCTATAAATTCTATAACATGTTGTTTTTTTTGTGTGTTATCATGTTCTTGTTGTTTCTTTGTCTTTAACTCTCTCTCTCTCTCCCTCTCTTTGTGCAAGTCTAGACAGTGTCTATTCGTTCCCACAAATGAGCAACAGACAAGAAACATGGGCAACCAGCAAAAATGATCAGGAATTACTTATTTTTTCTCAGGAACTGCAAAGCAAGACCATGGTCTTAGACTGGACTCTTAAAGTGGAATGCCGACCAAGAGGCAGCAGTGACCAAACAGGAACAAACCTTCCACAGTGGACGACGTGCCCATTGAGTTTTATCCCATATTTCACGCCGTACGACGCGAGAATGACATAGTAGTACTGCTGACTGTCTCAGTTTCCCTTGAAAAAAGGTTAACCATGGTTAACCATGTTTTTTCCACATATGTTTATACAGTGAGGAAACCAATCCCCCCAAAAAGGATCAAACAGGGTTCAACGGTTATTCACTGACTGGGTAGGACTCCATAGTACTCCCCAAGCCTTCCCAAGAGGAAGAAAAGGGTTCTGCTCCAAACAATCCATTTCTCCTTGATGAATCCACCTGGACCCAAGCATCTTCCACCCTCCTTCGGTCCTTCCCCGCCTCGGAGAAGGCGGAGCCACACACCGCGCCGGCTCGTTCCACAATGAAGAGCCGCATGTGGGCCATACCGCCGAAGCCGAAGCCCAACCCCGTGCTGGCCACCAAGACCATGAAGGCGGCATCCGTCGGCTTGGGCTGCCTGAGAGTCCGTCCCGGCCGAAGGAGACGGAGACGTGTTTTGAAGGGGACGATTTGAAGGGCGACGTTGCCGGGTTTTTCGCGTGTCCTTCGTTTTTCGTGTTCGGAGAAACGCGGAAGGTGTGATGAGTTGGATTGGCCGTTCCAACAAGCGCCGTGACCGAAGTGAAGGAGGTGAGGAGCGTCGAACGCAGAAGTGAAGCAGTTGTGAATCCCCCAGAAGGATCTCATGTACCAAAGATTTGCTGATTACTTGGGGTTGATGGATGATACGTCATGATACGTCAAGTGCCCAGAGAATCCGCTGAACTCCCGAAGAAGGAGGTTGACATATGTTGAAATCTGTGGTTTGTGGCCGTTTGGATCCACCGAGTATTGATCATATCTGCACGGAGAGCGAAGAAAACTCGGGGGGCCGTTGTCCTTGTTCTGCTTCCATATCGATGGCAGTCCTTAAGGGTTGTAAAGGCATCTCAATGCCAAATAATGCCAAATACATGCCATTCCCCATGTTTGGCTCTACTGGGTATTGATTGGGCGCTGACTCTAGTTTTGACTTTGAACCGTTTTGAAGCCCGTGAATGACCTTCTTCTCCTTTTCTGCTGTTGAGCGGCTTGAGGGCCAATATCCACAGGACCAGGCACACAAGTGAAATGACATAGTCCTCGGGAGCAAGGACAGTTTAGCAGCTTGAGGTAAGACAACCAAACAACTGTAACTGTTTACCCTGTGGTAGGACAGTGTTTCAAGTTCAGAGAAGACAAAGAACATGAAAACACCATATACACCCTGGTAGACCGACATGGACCCTGAAAACCACTGGTAGAGGAAAACCATCTTCCAGGGGGGTCATCGTCAGGGTCTATGTTATTTTTCGGGAGTGTAAGACCGATACTCAAGAACTGAAGATCCATCTCCTAAAAGAAGACACTTTCCCCATAAATTCCCTTAGCGCCTTCCAGAACCCTCCTCTTGCAGATTCCCTAAATCCTTTCAGCGATATACAGACCCTTAAGCCTGAACATCATCCCCTGGAATACCCTTCCAAAAGCTTTTCTGAATTCAGTCCTCACGACGACCGCCTCGTCTCTTCATCCCAAGCCATCCTCCCCCCGCCCCCATCGGCAAATCCCTGACGCCGAACGCTCGCTCGAAAGCTCGACCACCAGTGCCGGGTCTCGGTGGCCCAGCCCGCGATGGTGGTTCCCCAAAGCTCGCACCCCATGGCTCGGTCAGAAGCGGCTCGGTCAATCCAATTACGCGCTATAGCGCTATACGGCGACCGAGTGGGCACGGGAGCAGCAACGAAGAGCAACGTCTAGGGAGGCATGCAAGAATGGACTGCGAACGCTGCGGGGAGTTGCTGTATTTTACTCATTGATCTCGATCTGAGGCGATGTCTTTACTTTCTGCTGATGGGATCTCTGAGCAGCAAATGTGCCACGCATGCTCGACTCATGACCCCAAGGTGCGTCTTTTAAACACATTCAAACCCCAATATGTTTGCTTAGAAGATCTTAGAAGCAATTTTCATCGGCTTTTTGAGCCCTCGACCCCCTATCTCTCCGCCGAAAAGCCAAAAGCCACCGTGTCTTCACGGGTCGCACATGGTCACGCCATCCCAAGCTCCTCACTCTTGGCCGACCCAAGATACCCAAGCTCTGAACGTGTGCGACGTCTCCGATCGGATCGGGGTGTTCGTTCGAGCCTGGTCCCAGGCTCCTCGCTCCAAGGGTCGTAGAAGACGTCGCTCCAAGATCTTGGGCCTTGGGCAGAACCACGTCACCGACGGCGACATATTGCAACTTCATTCATGAAACCCCAGCTAGACTCCTCAGCAGTCCAGGTTTCTATATGATAATTTCCTAGAAATCTCCAATCATGTTCCAATTGAACTCCTCTGCTAGTCCGGCAAACCAAAAGACTCTCCCTGCCGGACGGACAATCGAATCAAACATCACCTCTCAAGGTCCAGAGGTGTTCATCCACAAATTCAGCCCATCCGATGAGGATGCTCAAACCAGGATTGATCCGGATCTTTCTTCAGATCGACCCCTGTGAACCATATAGCTATCATAACTCTCCTGTCCCAGCTGCAGTGCAAGATCCTCCAAGCAATGACCTGAGTGCGGCCGTTCCGAGTCGGTCTGAGGTGTAAACATGCCTTCTTTTGATCAGTCCTAGGTTGACCCGTCCTCACAGCAGTTCCTAACATGGCAATAACCTGATCTTTTGATGTCTTTTGGTATATCCTCTTCCAAACATTGTGTAATTTGAGGCAAACGTTTTGGTTTGGACTTCATAGGTAAAATATCTTGCCTTCAGCATGAGTGCGACTGATCTGCTCCAATCAAGAAGCAAAGCTCAATCGCTGACAGCTGTTTCCAAAAGTGAATAGAACCGATTGGCTTCTCCTTCCAACCAACAGCAAAGGATAGTGAAGGTTGATCCGGCTAAACAATTGTCAAGACAAATGTTTGTGCACTGTCACGAAAATTTCCAAAACAATGTTGAGCGGCATTATGCGCACTAAAGAAATAAACGTAACGATTCTTTAAACAAAAAGCAAAACAACTCCCACCACCAGAGGTGATTCGGGGTGTCCATTCACCACCCCTTGGGGGTTCAGGTCTCCGACCCGATCAACTTCCGTCACGTCCTCTCCGTCTGGGGTTCCACTACGTCTAGCGGAGAACTCGGGAGCCATGTTTTGAGTCCGGGCCACGCGGATGGCGCGCAGTAGAAGAAAACAAACAAACACTACCCAAACGCTCATGGTCGTACCCTCATATGGAGGGGTCCGGACCCTCACTTCCGTATGGTTTGGGACCAAGGCCTGTTTGGAGCGGCTGGGAACATTGAACATTGAGGGCGCCCTAGAGTTCTAATGAGCCCGTGGAACCCTTTGCTATCTTTTGGAAGGCATCTCTCTTCAAGGTGTAAAGCTTATCAAGGCAACAGAACCAGTTATGAACGGCTCTCGTTGTCTCGAGAATATCAGTCTTGGGAGTGAAACATTGAACAGATCTCACCATGTTCACCGAGTACAACATCTAGCCAAACATGCCCAGACTTCAAAATGTTTACAAGCCAGAAAAAGATCCAAAACTCTTTGGGACCCCATCTCTTCAGGACCCCATCTCTTTGGGACCCCTTACTTATAAATATTCCATCCCTTCAGGTCCTCAATCACATCCCCCGACTCTGTTTGGGACCCGGTGCTCGGTTCAACCGACACGTGGCTGATGGCCCAGTGGCTGACGGCACACAAAGGCCGTTGACCGACTCCACCACTTCCTTCAGTGCGCTGACTTTGGACGCTTCCACGTGGCAGAAACGAAACGGGAAAAGCGGTGAACATGGTGTTCCATGCCCAGACACTCCATGTATGCCGTATAAGCCTACATTGGGGTGGTTTGAGGGGTCAATGTAGGCATATATGGCAGTCCCATGGAGTGTTTGTTCCATGTGGTGGTTTCTTTTTCTCCGAGTTTTGATTGATTGAGTTGTATGTGACTGTATGTGACTGTATGTGTGTTTTCATTTTTTCTGGGGAATCCCACGTACAAATATGGGAATGTCAATATCTGCAAATCATGTTACATTGGTTGCACCGGGCGGCTCAGCCAAGGTCCACAGGGATTAATCAAAAGAACAAATGAACCTTTATTTATAATTAATGCTGTTCGTTTTCTTTCAGCTGCAGCTCACCTCAGGTACATCACGCTTATTGTGTTATTTTTCTTCGCTGGAAAACACCAACCACGGACACACCAGGGCTTCATGTTTGCTTTTAAAAAAAAGAATTAACACGGCAGAGTTGTTGATCGAATCGTTCAGCCTGCTTCCTCAGAACTCTTCACTACTTCGGCTGGTGGAGGAATGTGAAACCTCCACAGCCTTGCCAACAAAGGGCTAGTGAGGGCCCGTGAGGGCTAGTGAAAATTCATAGTGATCTTCAAAACCAAAACCATCCAGTGTTTTCAGTGGGTGGCCTGCCCGACTCAAAAGGTGTTTCTATTTGGTGGTTATCCGATCCAAAATGGTCTGTTCAGGTCTGCCCCACATCTACTCTGACCGTTGAAGAACATATGGCGAATCTATGTGATTTGACTCGTAAATATAGGACAGGGTTCATGTTTGCATGTTCAACAAACTCTTGGCCCGAATCACAAGCACGCAAGACTCTCCAAGAATAAAGCAAAAAGGTAAACGCATGATTCGTTAATGACATTACATTGACATTGTTGATGCTCACTACAACACTTGCAAGGTGAATTATTTTGCGAGTAGTGAGGTCCGTTGTGCATCTTTTGTGTCTTGACATTCAGGTGCAAAGCAGCCTTTGTTCTCTGGCAAGGATCTAAGAAGTGCGATCACCCGCTGTGACGCAGCCCTTCGGGCGACCTGCCAGCGCCACGACTGAGTCCAAATTGGGAAGTCCATAGGAAAAGTGTCTGTCATTGGCAATTGGCATAGAACTCACCCCTATATGTGGGAGTTTTGTACGCTGCCATTGGCAAAAACATGCACAGACCATTGGCAAAAACATGCACAAACCATCTCTGGTGAGAAGCAGCGCTGCTGCACTCAAGTGTGCAAATCTCAATAAGAGGCACTGTACACTACACTGGGGTTCATGTGCAACTGTCCCAAACACGGATCCAAAGGGCAAAGGAGATGGATTCCAGATTGATGACCAAATCCTTGCTTGACAATGTGGCTCTTACAGAAACTCTGGGCCAACGGCCCAGCTAAGGGCTCACCCCCGCTGACGGGAAAGATCAGCTGTTTCTTCGTCAGCTAGCAGCTGGCAGTCGAGAGCAAATGCGCTCAGAAAACGTGGCCAGCACCAAACGCACTAAAGCACTACCAGTGCGTTCAGAAGATTTGGCAAACGGCGAACATGGTGAATGGGAGCCGTTCACTTGGAAGATCTCTAAGGCAACTGCTGAACGAACCTCTGCCAAATGAAGTCTTTGGCAGCCCAGCTTACAGCTAAACCAAACATCAAGAGTTGCGTTCCTGAAATGCCGAGGATCAGCGCAGCCACACTCTTATTCAGCAGGCTTGCTGAGAGTCCAAATGATCCCTACGCCTTACGAGACGGAAAGTGCTGTCAGGATGGCCACGCGCTGTCAGTGCATCTGAGATGGCACTCGTGATGTCGCTGGCACCCGTGATGTTGGTGGCCAAGCGTGATGTTGGTGCTGGCTTGCCCTTGCCACTGTTGACCCTGTTTTTAGACATCCTGTTCATTCCATCTGCTAGAGCCTCCATTGTCAAGAGGGTGTCGTACTCATCAGGAAGCGGGCGGGACAGCCACCTTCTCTGGGCCTACCCTTGACAATGTCCCCAAGACAAACTCTACTCCTCAGACAAGGTTGCCATGGCCACTGCTCCATTCTTTTCAAGCGTAGCTACAAACACATCAGCAATGGCGCTACTTTCAGCTTTCGGCACAACGCTCGCAAGGCCACCCCGCCCAAAGAGCCACCGGCACAGGCAGAGTGGCTAGGAAATCTGCTTCCACAAGCTCCAAACCCCTGCCCCAAGGCCACCCAGAACTTTTGCGCTTGCGGCTCTGAATGGTTTGAAAGGTTCCACAGTTCCACAGCTGATGCTACGCACGAGCCAACTGAAGTGAGCCCTAGCAAGGCATCCCCCCCACCAATGGAATCTCCAAGAGAAATCACAAAGTGATGACAACAGTGTCCAGTAGCATCAAGGGTTGGAGAGTCGTTTTCCAGATGATGCAAGGCCAAAGGAGCTGACATTCCGATGAAAATCGATGAAAGTAGGGCTCTGCAAAATCCCTACAGCCGTACAAGTACTACCGCACCATCACCCGTGAAAGTAGGCCCCTAACCTCTCTATCCAAGTCTTTCAATTGAATCTCTGGTGCAGCTTCTAAATGATCTTGGCACAGCGGCTACCGGGAAAACCACACCCCACACCGCCCGTTGCGGCTTGGCGTCCAAAACCACACTCGAACACAAAATCGAAAGAGCGCAGCCCAGGCCCATCATCTTCACCCTGCCTCCGCCCTTGGCCGTTGTCCCTGCAGCTCCAGCTGCTCCTTCAGCGCCAACCACGCGCCCGGCGTGCTTAGCGGGGCACTGCTCCAAAGCAAGGCGGTGGCCTCTCACCGGTGCCGGTTGAAATAAAACCTGCTTCAAAGGCACTCTACCCAAGTTCCAGGGAATTCATGCCCCTTTGTGGTTTGCCTAAGAGGGTGGTACAATCAATGTCAAAAGTGCTTGCCCATCCAAAAGGAGTTGTCACACGGAGAATACGGACAGTTGGCACACGGAGAATACGGAGGATGTTTTTGGATAAAGCCCACTCGACATCACTCGACTGTTAAACATTGTTTTGGGTCCGGGTCGTTGAACTCATTGTCTTTCAAATCCGCCGACCCCACACCGTGGGGTGAGGCGTGACTGTCGATGTTAGCCTTAGCCTTAGGCCTTAGCCTTAGCCTTAGACCTAGTCCTTAGCCTTAGCCCTAGACCTAGACCTTACCTCCCCTACCCCTCCGGACCCTTGTTGCAGTGACGAAATCAGCGACCTGATGGTCACCTGGATTGTCCAAGAATCTGCCATCCCAATTGATTTACATCTTGGGGCACCCTCTCGACCCGCGCGGGAAAATAAGCACGGTCCAAAATGGTCCTGGGCTCGAATCCCGGGCTGGTCGCGGCATGGTCCCGGCCAATGCCCTTGCTTTTTCGTAGATTTTGTCACGTTTTCTGTTGGTTTATGAGATGTTCAAAGGCTTTTCTGGCATTTTCCTAGGAATGCTCTAGGCTTTGTCTTTTTGGGTACCTGCTTTGGTGGTGCTGGGTTGGGTCTAAATTGGTAAACCTGGGAGGTACCCAAAAAGTCGACTTTTTGGGTACCTGCTTTGGTGGTGAAGGGTTGGGTCTAAATTCTTGGGCAATGATCGGGGTTCATGCAAGAGCTGACGTCCGATGGTAAATCTGGTTTGGTGGTGCTGGGTTGGGTCTGCACTCTTAAGGCTAAGGCTTAAGGCTAAGGCTAACATAGAGCAAGGCTAGCGCTAAGGTTCTATCCCTTGGGGGTCGGCGGCTGCAGGCGGTAGCCTGGTAAATCCGGGCGCCGGCCAGGACGCCCGTGGCATGCCCGGAGGGCCTT